TGCTCTCGGCTTCGTGCGCTTTGCTGAGGGGAGCAAAGAGGCGGGAAAAGCGCGTGAGGCGGTGTTGCTTCCCTGAGGCGATTTCTCTGGTTTCCCCGCTGTTCTGAGGGGGAAAAAAGGGACGCTGCGAGGGTGAGATGCGTCCGCTCTCACTGTTCGGGGTGGTTTGAGGTTGGGCGCTGAGGAGCGGTAATAAAACCTGCAAAACCATGGTGGGTTTTGGTATTTTTATTGGAGGTAAATGTGGATTTATTCTTCTGGGGGTAAATCTGTGCTCTGTGACCCCTTTGTCTGAGGTAAGAGCTGTTCTAATGCTGAATTACAGTATTTTTTTAATGATTTTCAGCACTTGAAACTCATAGCAGGTATAAAAAAAAATTTCTTGGAAACTGGCGCTCCCATGGTTAAAATAAGCTTTAATTTTTAATCTTAATTAATTTTAAATTTTTTTTCCTTGTCTTGACTAGGGAATATATTCGGGGGCAGCTCAGCTGCTGCTCCCCCTTCTCCAACACCCCAAAAGCATCTCGGGTTTCTAAAGCAGGACTTCTGGGTTGCTTGGGGGTTTTTTCCTAATTAAAAAGGTCTTTTTTTGTCAATTTGCAGGTTTGATTTTCCCAGCCAGGTGGGTTTTGAGGTATTTCAGGGTGTTTTAAAGGTTGATGGCGAGGTTCCGGCTGGATACTCCCCATGTCCCTTCCTCCTCCTGCAAGGTACGGAGCAGGCAGCTTGCAACCTCTTTGTCTTACGTGGCTGCTGAAACAATGCAGAAAATGATGAAAATGGGGGAGGGAACCCAAATTGATACAGAGAGGAGGGAGCAGCACTTTGAGATGCTGCTTTAAATGGGGGTTGTTTGAGGTCAGCAGGGCTTGGTGTGGTGTTTTGGCAGCAGAAGGTGAAATTCAGAGCCCCAAATATTACTAAAAAATATTAACTCAAGAAAAATTGAAGTTAAGAATATTTGATTGTTTTTTAGTTGTTGGGAAATCAGACAGCATCTTATTTTGTTCTGTTTTGGGGCCAGAGAAGGGAATCTTTGCACTGTTCATGTGGCACAGAGGAATAAAAATGAGCTAAACACAAGTTTATCAAAATATGAGGCATTTGGTGTCTTAAAGCTTATTTTTTTCCCTAAAATGACTTACTTAAAACAGTAAATAGGTGAAGGAAATGGGGTCAGGGTGGTTCCTCCCAACCTGAGGCTTCCCTGGGGATGAAGCTCTCATTATTCCATGAGAAGCCCGCAGCAGCTCATTTACATATTCACTTTGGGCTTAATTAGTTTTCATTTAAATAAAAACAAAGATGAAAACCTAAATTTTGGCAGTTTGAGGAGCTTGGAAATGGCTAAAAGGATCCAAATAATGATTTTTTGGAGCAGCGGTCGGGGTGGTACCAGGAGCGAGTTGGGGGGCAAAGGGGCTGCCCTGCTTCATTAGCTCTCGTTAACAACCCTGCCTTGATTGGGGACGATGGTGTGGGTAAAACCGGCAGTGCTCAAAACTGTTGGGAAAAAGGCAGGTTTTGGGGAAAACAAGCCCTGTAAAAACAACATTTCATGTTGAGGGGTGAGATGCTGCTTGTGACTTCGCTTCTGTGTCGTTTGCCTTGAGCAAGGTGTCTGATTTGGGGCGTTTTGGGGCATTTGAATGGTTCATCTCTTTTTTAGGGAGGAATTCAGAACTTTTGGGGGCTTTTGAATGGTTTATCTGGCTTTTGGGGGGGGATTTGGAGCTTTTGGGTGGGGTTCTTGGTCAGTTTTGGGGAGTCTGGGAT